TATATTTTAAAATTTATTATTTTTTTGTCTCTCATTTATATATTTAATTTTTTTATACGTTTTCTTTTTTATATAATATATATATATATATATATATATATATATATATATATATATGATATTTTTTTTAAACAGCATCAAAATGCTGGGACGTTTATGGTCAGCCTTACACGTTCTTGTCAGCCAACACGATCTCTTGAAATGTGATGTCTTAAAGTATCCCCAACTAACCAGTCAGGGGCGTACCTAGAGATTGTGACGCAGGGGATAGTCTTGGACTTTGATGCCCCTATCTCCCACTCACAAACACAGAGAGCAAACACGTTAAACACAAGCCCTATATGTTTCAAACAGTTGACCCTAAAGGGCACCTTAACGCACCCTCCTCCCCCTCCAGCCTTGCTCTTCTACGCCCAATCCTGGTGGTGAGTTCTTCTTTGCGTTGTTGTTTTTATGCGGCCTCTTATTTTCACGAGATTAATAGTCTGTCGTCCAAAGAGATCAATAGTCTGTCGTCCAAAGAGATTTATATTCTGTCGTCCAAAGAGATTAATAGTCTGTCGTCCAAAGAGATTAATAGTCTGTCGTCCAAAGAGATTTATAGTCTGTCGTCCAAAGAGATTAATAGTCTGCCATCCAAAGATTCAAGCCACAGCTTTATATACATAAATTAACCTAGAAAAAAACAACTTTTATTTTAATTTGTATATATATTTAGATTTATTTACTTTATTTTATTTATTATCAGACTACTCCAAATAAAGGACAATAAACGACGGACTGCGTTCGAGCTGTTTGAAGAAAATCTTAGAGTCAAGGTGTGTGGAAGCTTGAAGCAGAAACATGGGACATTGAAAGAATAAACGCGCCTTCCTCGGCAGACAGGACGAATGGAAAATCAACAAGAAATAGATAGAAAGTAGCTCAAAAGCTTCAGGTTCAAAGGTTAATATTTCTGAGGTATTTCACAGGCAAGATAGTTAAATCGGCTGAGCCAACCATCATCGAGGTCAGTTGAACAAATCTACTTCGTTTACACGATGCTCCTGGTATTAACAATAAGTAACAAGTGAATGAAAAAGTATACGGTAAAGTAAAGAAAAAAAAAAACGAAACAAATGCTAGTGATGTGAAACATGAACAGTTTATTTATGCTTTTATTTTTACACAAATTACAAAATCAACTCAATGACATGCTGGCCTAAGTAGCTTATAGGGTTGGATATAAATTAACGGCGACAGAACAATGTTGTAGTGTAGTAGATTGTTTACCTCTCAATCACGTACAAGGTCAGGCCGTTTTTCTCTCAATCATCTCGTGCAGTCAGAAAACGGCGAAGTGTCTATGGGAAGTCTGTCTGAGCTGCAGTTCAAGGTCTTATATATACACCCAGAGAGAGAATGTCTGAGCTGCAGTTCAAGGTCTTATATATACACCCAGAGAGAGAATGTGTGAGCTGCAGTTCAAGGTCTTAAATATACCCATAGAGAATTTCTGAGCTGCAGTTCAAGGTCTTATATATACCCAGAGAGAGAATATCTGAGCTACAGTAAAAGGTCTTAAATATACCCATAGAGAATGTCTGAGCTGCAGTTCAAGGTCTTATTTATATTAACAGGGAGATAATTACCCAGAGATGTTGAAATTACTAAAAAAAGTCATCTTTAAAGGTAGATAATCAAAAGATTTGTTTATTAAATTATTATTTTATTGTCTACCCTTTACGTATTTATTTTTTAAAAACATATTCTTCTTTTTTTTTTTTTTTTTTTCTTCGCTTTATTGGCATGATAATGACGTTGGGAGCAGTTACACATCATGAAACCGTGACGTCACTACTCAACAACAAAACAATGTGCCGTGTCTTTAAAGGTAGATAATCAAAAGATTTGTTTATTAAATTATTATTTTATTGTCTACCCTTTACGTATTTATTTTTTAAAAACATATTCTTCTTTTTTTTTTTTTTTTTTCTTCGCTTTATTGGCATGATAATGACGTTGGGAGCAGTTACACATCATGAAACCGTGACGTCACTACTCAACAACAAAACAATGTGCCGTGTGAAACAATGAATCTCTTATATGTACTAGTAGTGTGACTGCTTCCTGGTCCTATTCCTAACCGGCCGTCACCCTATTCAACGTGTTTTATATTACATATAATGCTTCACGCTTGAAAGAACGTATGATTCCACAGTGAGTTCCATTGCGCACAAATAAAATTCCCGATAACTACGCTAAATGATTTTTATTTTCACACGCAACTGCGTTTGATGCGTAATATTTTCTTTTCGGAAAATGAAATCGTCTCATTTTAAATATGTTGTTTTAATTATTCGGTTTAAAAGTTGTTGGGACATCAGAATATTTAATATAGTTCTTGGCGATCAAATAAAAAGTGTGCAGTAACTAAATTATCATGGGGGAAGGGGTGTAAAAATATTGCGATTCATAAATGTGCGTTACACTTGAGTTCATGTTTTGTCAAGTAATTTTAGTAGATGGGATGTTCACGCATGGCTGTCGCAAATCTTTGGCGGGGTGTATCTAGTAATTAATATTTCGTATTTTGTCATTTTCATTCCTTAAGTGTACGCAAATAATGTTAATAACACGACAGACTTCACGGTGGACACGACAGACTTCAGAGTGGACACGACAGACTTCACTTGGACACGACATGCTTCACGGTGGACACGACAGACTTCAGAGTGGAAACGACAGACTTCACTTGGACACGACGTGCTTCACAGTGGACACGACATACTTCACAGTGGACACGACAGACCTCACCGTGGACACGACAGACCTCACAGTGGACACGACAGAGTTCACAGTGGACACGACAGACCTCACAGTGGACACGACAGAGTTCACAGTGGACACGACAGACTTCATAGTGGACACGACAGACTTCACAGTGGACACGACAGACCTCACAGTGGACACGACAGAGTTCACAGTGGACACGACAGACTTCATAGTGGACACGACAGACTTCACAGTGGACATGACAGACTTCATAAACGGCACAGAAAGCTTTTTCCCCGCCGGGTTGATTGATAGTTATCACCTAGAACCACATTCCAGTCTTCTTGGAACTCTGCACGACTTGACTGCCTCTCCTGGGATTTCTGTGTTGTTTGAAGTACGGCTGACCTTGACCTGAAGGGAGAACTGCCCGAGACGGATGAGCGGATGAAGTGGCCGTGGTCAAGTATTCCATTGGACCGAGATGTTCGACCAGAGTCTGGCGTCGTCGTGTGTTTTGACCTTGACATTCTTAATTTCCCATCCCACAACGTTTCTGTGTCCGCGCTGTCCACTTGTGTGTAGTAGCTGAGTAACCGGTCCGTCCTCCTCATGTAGTCTATTCTTTCATTCAGCAGACTGTCAGCCTCGTTATCAGTTCTCAGGGGCGAACCCAGGCTTTGATTGGATGATGGCGCACCTGACTTAGTGCACTTCTCACAGCGGAGTGCGTCACGCGCACGTCTCACCACGTGACCACCGTCTGGCACGTGAGAAATGCTTTTGTCACCATGCACGTACAATGACATCATGTTTCGCTTATTTGCTGAAGTATTATCTGTCTTTAAATGTGCCAATTTGTTTTGTCCAAAATGTGATTGTATGGGCGGATCTCCGCCGTTCAAGTTAATTGTATATGTTTGATCAAAGGTTAGAGTTTGAAGTGAGTTAGAACCCTTTGACCTTTGAACTTTTGGATATTTCTTGAACGTTGAATTTAGTTCAGTCTCTGGTGTTATCCTGCTGATTGACTCGGTCCTTCTATCCGATGCAGCCCTGCTGCCGGATGCGGCCCTGCTACACGATGCGGCCATACTACTCGGTGCGGCCCTACTACTCGATGCGGTCTTACTACCCGATGCGGCCCAAATAACATACTTGAATGTAGAAAAACAGTGGTCACAGGTATTCTTTGTTAGCGTTGATAACCTTGGATCGTCCTTCCTCGTGTTGTTGCTCAAGGGGTTGCATGCTGGGACAGATGAGTCAGGGAACCATTGCCTGACAGAGCTGAGTCTCTGTTGGCGTTTGAATGTTTGAATAAAAGGTGACTGCCTCCTGGGAAAGGCAGCTCTGCTACACACCGTCTGCGAAGGATTGCTCTTGTACAGCCTGACTAGCACTTGACACCTTGTCACCTGGCCGTCTGTCAGTGTTTGTTTAACATCGTGACCCAGAGGACCTGGTACGTGTTTTGGAACAAACGCTTCATTTTCTTCTGTAGCAGTTGTGAGCTGGTACCTGACAGGCAGATGACGCCAGAGAGTCCAGGAAGACATCTGAAATTATAAAGAATAGTGTTTGTCATTTCTCAGACCGGAAAACGTCATAGAGTTACTACTTTTAGAACGTCGGACACATATGTCTTAAAAGATGGCGGCTAAAAGTGTTGGATCAGCATATCGTTCTGACGATCCTTGCATCTAGAGTCACTTTTACACGTGCCGTTGCATGTGAAGTCCCATTTCACAAAATAGTAATAACGAAAAATTGTGTGAAATATTTCGAAAATATAGTTTGTAAACAAGTTTTGATTTAGGTTAAGGGCCTCTTTGCTAACAGAGTAGTACTGACCAGTGTTGACGTTTTGTACAACCCGAGTACCCGGATGATTACAGCAGTTCTATTAATAGATTTCTGACATTAAATGACACGACCTGTTGTCAGAAAGTGTTCATAGTTGGACATAAATAAGGTGAACATAAGAATTAATAAAATAATTGCGTGCGTGGGCGTAGAAAGAGAGGGTGTGGGTTGGGTACACTTCAGACAGATTATACTTTAGCTTAAACGGATGCAGTTGGTTGTTTTACACCGGGTCCGGGTATTTTGAGAAAATATCCCGTAGGTCCAAGTGTTACAAAATAGAGTAAACTTCTCGTTTTCTATTTTGGATGCCGACTTACAGACAGTCCTACATCTTACCTGCCAGCTTTTAAACAGTAGGCCTATAGACAGTCCTACATGCTACCTGCCCGCCTTTAAACAGTAGGCCTACATACAGTGCTACATCCTACCTGCCCGCCTTTAAACAGTAGGCCTACAGACTGTCCTACATCTTACCTGCCAGCTTTTAAACAGTAGGCCTACAGACAGTCCTACAACCTACCTGCCCGCCTTTAAACAGTAGGTCTACATACATTCCTACATTCAACCTGTCAGCCTTTAAACAGTAGGCCTACAGAAGTCCGAAATGCTACCTGCCAGCCTTTAAACAGTAGGCCTACAGACAGTCCAACATGCTACCTGCCAGCCTTTAAACTGTAGGCCTACATACAGTCCTACATCCTACCTGCCCGCCTTTAAACAGTAGGCCTACATACAGTCCTACATGCTACCTGCCCGCCTTTAAACAGTAGGCCTACAGAAGTCCTACATCCTACCTGCAAGCCTTTAAACAGTAGGCCTACAGACAGTCCAACATGCTACCTGCCAGCCTTTAAACTGTAGTCCTACATACAGTCCTACATCCTACCTGCCAGTCTTTAAACAGTAGGCCTACATACAGTCCTACAAGCTACCTGCCCGCCTTTAAACAGTAGGCCTACAGAAGTCCTACATCCTACCTGCCAGCCTTTAAACAGTAGGCCTACAGACAGTCCAACAGGCTACCTGCCAGCCTTTAAACTGTAGGCCTACATACAGTCCTACATCCTACCTGCCCTCCTTTAAACAGTAGGCCTACATACAGTCCTACATCCTTCCTGACCGCCTTTAAACAGTAGGCCTACATACAGTCCTACATCCTACCTGCCAGCCTTTAAACAGTAGGCCTACATACAGTCCTACATCCTACCTGCCCGCCTTTAAACAGTAGGCCTACATACAGTCCTACATCCTTCCTGACCGCCTTTAAACAGTAGGCCTACATACAGTCCTACAACCTACCTGCCAGCCTTTAAACAGTAGGCTTACATACAGTCCTACATCGTACCTGCCCGCCTTTAAATAGTAGGCCTACATACAGTCCTACATCTTACCTGCCAGCCTTTAAGCAGTAGGCCTACATACAGTCCTACATCCTACCAACCAGCCTTTAAACAGTAGGCCTACATACAGTCCTACATCGTACCAACCAGCCTTTAAACAGTAGGCCTACATACAGTCCTACATCCTACCTGCCAGCCTTTAAACAGTAGGCCTACATATAGTCCTACATCCTAACTTCCCGCCTTTAAACAGTAGGCCTACATACAGTCCTACATCCTACCTGCCCGCCTTTAAACAGTAGGCCTACAGACTGTCCTACATCTTACCTGCCAGCTTTTAAACAGTAGGCCTACAGACAGTCCTACATCCTACCTGCCAGCCTTTAAACAGTAGGCCTACAGACTGTCCTACATCTTACCTGCCAGCTTTTAAACAGTAGGTCTACATACAGTCCTACATCCTACCTGCCCGCCTTTAAACAGTAGGCCTACATACAGTCCTACATCGTACCTGCCAGCCTTTAAACAGTAGGCCTACATACAGTCCTAATCCTACCTTCCAGCCTTTAAACAACATTCCTACGGTCAGTCCTATCGACGATCCGACACCTTAACCGTGGCTCTTTGGTGATTAATAGAATAGTCCGCTCCCCCTAAAGAGAAGAAATCAACCTATTAACTGGAGTTCAACCATCACGCATGACACTCTTCTGCGTGGCGGCATTTTGTCACTCAGTACTATTAATATAAAACTTCGGAGTTGGGTGAAGGGGAAAAAAAAAAGGGGCGGGGTGCTTTTTTAAGATGAAGCAGGACGCACCAGAAGTAAACTATGTCATAGGGTTGGTTTAATTTTTACATGTATTCTGTGTGCATTGTGGTTTACCTTGAATAGGGCCGGCAAAAATCAAAGACCGCCCAGGGTGTCACACACTCTAACTTCTGGGCTGGTTGAATATATGGCGGCATGGCCATGTATGTTTTGATACTCTGAATGAGTTATTAGTACGTTAGATCTAAACATTCCATCAGTAGTTTTAGAATATTATTTAGATATCTAATTAATAAATAGCTATTAAGTTTTGAAGTAGATAGGTAAACGTGACAAAAGGGCTTACTGAAAATACTTTTAACAAAGATTTAATATAAACCCCACCTCAAGTGATTGCCTTTAAGATAGCATCCATTATACAGCGTTTTGAAAAGCGATTTGCTTACTTAGAACACAGTTGAATATAGCATGTTACTGTTGGAGTGGACAAGAAACAGTGCATCTACATCTACTTACACCATGTGGTCAGTTCACAGTAAAGGTCTGTGCCTGTTGTGTTAACTTTTGGGTCCGCAGGTTTCGGCGCAGCATAAACACTGGCAGCAACACTAGCAGTAACACTACTTATCAGTTGAATAAACACTGGCAGCAACACTAGCAGTAACACTACTTATCAGTTGAATAAACACTGGCAGCAACACTAGCAGCAACACTACTTATCAGTTGAATAAACACTGGCAGCAACACTAGCAGTAACACTACTTATCAGTTGAATAAACATTGGCAGCAACACTAGCAGTAACACTACTTATCAGTTGAATAAACACTGACAGCAACACTAGCAGCAACACTACTTATCAGTTGAATAAACACTGGCAGCAACACTAGCAGCAACACTACTTATCAGTTGAATAAACACTGGCAGCAACACTAGCAGTAACACTACTTATCAGTTGAATAAACACTGGCAACAACACTACAGATAAGTTACGTAAACACTTGCAGTAACATTACACACAAGTTACTTGTCACTCCACTTTTACACAACTCCCTCCTCCTCTTTCTCTCCCCCTCTCTTACGTAAGCCGTAGGGTGGTCATACAAAGTCTCCGCCATTTATCGCCAGTTATTAATTTATTCCAGGTTTGGCGCGAGCGAGCGCGAGGAGTAAATAGAAATTAGCGTTCAGTTTTTGCCCCTGAAATGGTGGTTTAGGCATTTTATGTGTACGACCCTTGGTGGGCTGGTGACAACTGAGTGGGCTGGTATCAACTCAGTGGGCTGGTATCAACTGAGTGGGCTGGTATCTAATCAGTGGGCTGGTATCTACTCAGTGGGCTGGTATCTACGGGCTGGTATCTACTCAGTGGGCTGGTATCTACTGAGTTGGCTGGTGTCAACTGATTGCGCTGGTATCAACTGAGTGGATTGGTATCAACTGAGTGGGCTGGTATCAACAGAGTGGGCTGGTATCAACTGAGTGGGCGGGTATCTACTGAGTGGGCTGGTGTCAACTGATTGCGCTGGTATCAAACTGAGTGGGATGGTATCAACAGAGTGGGCTGTATCAACAGAGTGGGCTGGTATAAACTGAGGGGGCTGGTATCATCAGCGTGGGCTGGAATCAACTGTGGGCGGGTATCTACTGAGTGGGCTGGTGTCAACTGAGTGCGCTGGTATCAAACTGAGGGGGAGGGTATCAACAGAGTGGGCTGTATCAACAGAGTGGGCTGGTATCAACTGAGTGGGCTGGTATCATCAGCGTGGGCTGGTATCAACTGAGTGGGCTGGTGTCAACTGATTGTGCTGGTATCAACGGAGTGGGCTGTATCAACGGAGCTGGCTGTTATCAACAGACTCGACTGGTATCAACCGAGTGGGCTGGTATCAACCGAGTGGGCTGGTATCAAACGAAGTCTAACAATAGACTTCATCTACCACTAATAATCTAAGAACAGGTCATCTGACCTTGTTGTGTACAAAAGTTGAGAATGCATTGTAAAAACCGATAAACGTACAAAGAACCGATTATTTCAGCATGTATCGCATCGGTTTGCCGAAAAAAATAAAATTCCTTTTTTATTTTTTTTCGCATTTTGAGGGAGGGGGGGGTGGACTTGAATTTTCCCGGGGGGGGGGCCTCTGAGAGATGCCGGAAAAAGAGCCCAGTCAAAACGTCAACATTTGTATTCTGTGTAATCATTTTTAATCTCAACAAAGATTGTTTCATTTACACGTATCGTTTGTGTCTAATGTATTGTAAGTAAGGCCGCGAGTTACGCATCAGTTCTAATTTTAGTCGCACTAGCAAGGCACGCATTAGTTGCACCACTACTCAACCGGGGGGCGCGGCTATCATTGACAAGACGTATCAATGTTGAGATGGCGGAAATTCTGTAGGTAGAGAGGTAATCACGAAATTGTATTTTTTTTTTTACACACACACACACATGGCGTTTTTCTCAAACTAAAATCCATATATCAAGTAGTGAAGTTATGGCTATCTATGCTTTTTCACACAGGTCAACTCTTTGTATGTCATGATTCATTTAATTCAACTGTATGGCTCATTGTGGCTAACTGGAATAGTAGAACAAGGCATGTGGACATATTTGAATCAAAAGACGGGACGATAAGAGAAGAATGTTTTGGCTAACTTTATCCTTAATTATGATTGATGTTGAAAATAATTACGTGAGCCCACAACTTTCATTATCACTCCAACTCCACACCCTTATTAAGGCCACAGCGTGCTGATACACAGCGTCGGCTCTACGGTTGTTGGCGCCCGGACAAGCTTAACGTTGACTTCCCTTTTAAGTATAATCATAAACCTTTGTGCAAGGAGCTGATTACCTAGCTGGTTTAAAAAAAAACAAAAAACCCAAAAAATGAACAGTAAAATCTTCTTTTTTTTTAACTTTTATTTGGACAGTATGTACATTAAATAATAATAATAATAAGTGGTCTTATATAGCGCGGTACCCAAGCCTAGGGCTGGGCTCACCGCGCTGTACATAAATATAGCAAAGAGGCATAATCATGAAGTTAAAATAAAATACATAAATGAAATAAAAACAACATTTAAGCAAAACAACACCAGAGGTATATTCATCCACCCACACCAGAAATCTTGCAAGGCAACCCATGTACGGTTATCGGTTTATAGGAGGGGAATCAGTCAGGGTAGTATAGTTTAAATAGATGCGTTTTGAGTGCAGTTTTGAAGGCCTGTGTGGTTGGTATGTTGCGGATGTGTAGTGGCCAAGAATTCCATTGTTTGGGGGCGCAGAAAAAGAAAGATCGTTCACCATATAATTTAGTGCGTGTCTTGGGAACGGACAGAATACGCGAGTCTGCAGAGAAGCGAAGTTGTCATTTTAGCCTGCCGATGATATTTTTTTAGCCTTTCGATCACAAAATCTTTTTATTTCACTTTCTATTTTTCTTACATGGCGTCCACATGCCATCATTTTTTTTTTTTTGGAAGATCTTTGATGGTGCCCTACGCACATGGATGGCGCCCCGGGCAACTGCCCGAGTTGCCGGTACCTTGTGCCGGGCTCTGAAGTTAGACTGATCAGTGAATGACTTCAGCACTGCGTCAAGCTTCGTGTCAACTGAATAACAAGACCACTTCTCTTAAAGCAGCGTATGTTCTAACCGTAGTCGTTGTGCTGCCCGACCTATGTACCAAATGTTCCCCAAAGCTTCAGAGCGCCGCATCGACCCGATCCTACAACGCATATTTTAATACCTGCTATGAAAGGCGTATGACTTATTGCCGGATGGCACAATCTCTTTTCAGGGCAACCGTTGACCTTTTCTATAGCGGCGGTGGACGATGGCGGCGCGTGCACAATACCGCTACTTTCAGGGGTCTGACTAGGGTAATCAAGTTCAGATGAACATTTAATGAGCTTCCGTTTTCTAAGATCGGTTTAACGACTTCAGTGTTTGGCCCCCTTTCAAAAATCAGTTTTCATTATGCGTTTCTATTTAATACGTTTCGAATTTAATTCTCTGTTAAAATTTGGAGGTGAACCCGAACTGTATTGGGCTATCGTTTCTTGTCAATGGTCTGATCACTGTCGGAGACGGAATGAACGTCATTTAATTGAATTTTCCAATCCCGAATTCAGATTTCTGAAAGGTTTGATAAAATTGGTTTACATAATGGCTACAGAAATATTGTTACGTTACATAACAATAATACAATGATTAATTCCATTGGGGAAAAACCTTTGTCGTTACGACATTTCTCCGAATGTTCAATGTTTTAGTCTGTATTGAATTGATCGTTTGATCATAAAAATGCTGACTGCAGTAATTGAACTGTTGCTGTGTACTCATAGAAAGGCTGATTGTGGTGATGGAACCGTTATTGTCAAGTCATAGAAATGCTCCTTGGATGTGATGGAACGAACTGTTATTGTGTAATCCTCATCGCAAACATCGTCATCATCGCCACCAGCATCGTAATCATCACCATCAGCATCATCATCATCACCACCAACGCCGTCATCATCATCACCAACATCGTCATCATCATCACCAACATCGTCATCATCACCACCAACATCGCCATCATCACCACCAGCTTCATCATCATCATCACCATGATCATTCAGAACCAGTTGCCATTTGGGCATGAAACTATCGGCCACAAGGCACGATTAGAAACAAAGAATGCCCACTGAGAACTGGTGCCCACTCGAGTGCACTCAGAGAGATTGGTGCCCAATGGAGCGAAGATCAGCCACAGCCAACATATATTGGAACTATTGATTTTTTTTATAATGAATTTTCGATCAGTATTGAAAAGAAATCAACTCTTCAATGTAAGGCCAGTCAATATAACACACACCAGGAACTCTTTCATGGACAGCCCATGTAACGCTTGTAGTGACGGCCTGTGTACAGCTGATTCTATGTTGCTTTGTCCATGCATGTCGATATTGCAACGGTCACATGGTTCATTTCCTTTCATTCCCCTTTGTTCCAGGGTGTCGGTAAGAAGGGGGTAGGTCGGAGATTTATTAATTAAGATAGCAGTGCTCTCCAAAAATGTGCGTCGCGACTCAGTAATGTGTCGTGTGCAGGCTGTGAGGTGTGTCGTGTGCAGGCTGTGAGGCGTGTCGTGTGCAGGCTGTGAGGCGTGTCGTGTGCAGGCTGTGAGGCGTGTCGTGTGCAGGCTTTGAGGCGTGTCGTGTGCAGGCTGTGAGGCGTGTCGTGTGCAGGCTGTGAGGCGTGTCGTGTGCAGGCTGTGAGGTGTGTCGTGTGCAGGCTGTGAGGTGTGTCGTGTGCAGGCTGTGAGGCGTGTCGTGTGCAGGCTGTGAGGCGTGTCGTGTGCAGGCTGTGAGGTGTGTCGTGTGCAGGCTGTGAGGTGTGTCGCGCAAGAATAAGCCCTTCCAACATTCACGAATTCGTGACGTTAAAAACCCGATAAAAATGACTTAAGAAAAACTATGAACACAGATTTCAAGAAATGCTTTTCAAACAGGTTTATTTGAAAATGTGGGAAGAAAACAAAAAGGGGGAGGGGGTGGGGGGTTGGGGTGTAATGAATGTTTCAAAGGCTGATAGTAAACATAGAAACGAATGCTTTGATAGTACACATGGACATTGATGCTTTGATTGTAAACAAGAAATTTATTTTAATACATTGTGCATATCCATTTTAATTACATTTGTACA